AGGGGCTGGGAAGGGCCCTGGCAGGACCAATGCTGCCCCTGCCATAACCCCCACACCCCCTCCCAGCCCTGTCCCCCACTCACCGCACAGGAGATCTCCCCATTTCTCTCGAACAAGCAGAAGCCGTTGATGTCACAGGGGTTGGCGGTGGTGGTGCTGCAGGACTTTTGGGGGACGCAGCCCGACGTTTGGTTCCCCACAAAGCCCGACTTGCAGGGACCACACTTGAAGGAGCCCTGGAGGGGGAGAGAGAGCAGGGGTGGGATGAGGGGAGCCGGGCGGCCCCGGGAGCCAGGGAGGGAGCGGGACAGCGCTGCTCACCAGCGTGTTGGTGCAGATGGAGTTGGGGTCGCAGCCCCCGTTGTTCCCGTCGTTGCATTCATCGATATCCGTGCAAACCTGCGAGCAGTGTGGGAGAAACCCTCACTTGGGGCCTTCCCCTGCCCATTCCTGCCCCCCTGGGAAGTTGCCCTCCTCACAGGCACTGCGTCCTCCACTCTGCCCCGCACTCTGGAGCACCCACAGGCACCCGGCCGAGTCCTGTGGCGCCTCACTCACCTGCTTGCTGGCCTTGGCATAGTCCACCCCCACACCAGAGACGGTGTTGCCTCGATAGCCACGGGGACAAGGCTCACAGCGGAACCCGGGGGACGTGTTGATGCACTTGGAGCCAGGGAAGCAGGGGTTGGCATGGGCACACTGCAGCACCGGGAAGAGAGACCAGCTTCACCCTCGGGCACAGCATCGGGGTGGCTGCTGCCATCCCAGCAGGGCCTTTCCTGAGAGGAAGCATCCTCTGCCTGCACTGCCCTGGCAGTGCTGGGGCTGCTGGTCTCCCCAGAGTGTGCCCACCTCCTCGATGTCGGCGCAGTGCGTGCCGTTGCCCTCCAGCCCCGGTGGGCAGGGCCCGCAGCGGTACCCGGGGTACTCGTACGTCTCCATGCAGTCCACCCCGCTGAAGCAGGGGTTGGGGTTGCAGCGGGACCGGTGCTCGTGGAAGCCTGAGGAGAGGACAGGCAGATGAGGGGTGAGACAAGGCAGCCCTTTGCCCCCCCGAGGTGGGGGCAGAGCCTCGCCAGCACTCACCGCAGACCTGGCACTCCATGATGGTGTTGCGGATCAGAGACATCTCCTTCACCTGCAAGGCAGCAGAGCGTGGAGCATCAGGGGGTGCTGGCACCATGCTCTAGGGAAATCCAGCTCAGGGAGGGCCGGTACCCCCCCACTGTCCCACCTGGTCCCTAATGTCTTCCCGCAGCTCCGACAGGACCCGGTTGAAGAGGGTCAGCTGCGTGACCAGAGCCTTGGTCTGCTCACCTGCCAGCAGCAGAAAGGACAAGGTCAATCCCAGGACAGACACAGCCCCCTGGGGACATAGGCCAGGACTGCTCTGCCCACCAGCACCGAGCTGGGAGGACAAGGCAGTCGACAGCCTGTTCTTCTCCTCCCTGGTTCACACAGGATCCCTTTCCCCATAACACAACCCACGCCTTTTGATGCACCCCATGTGGGGCACTGGGACAGGCTGTGGAAGGGTTTCTGCCTCCGTGGAGCCCCAAATGCCTCAGGCCAGGGAATGGGGAAAGCAGAGCAGGGACTCACCCAGGATGGAGGCCAGCACACTCGTCACTGCAAGGAGAGAGACGAGATGTTACCAAATGCTGCCATCACACCCCGGCAGCATCACCTCACGCAGTCATTCCTGGTCAGCACGTGAGCAGCGCTGGAGCTCCCACCTGCGTGGGGACCCTGGGCCAGGAGAGGCAGGAGCAGCCCTCTGTGCTGTCACCCCCCACCTCCCTGTACCACAGCACACACAGGTGACCCTGTAAGCCCCTCAAACCATTACCTGCACTGTGAATGGACTCATCTCCTTGAAAAGGGCACTCGCTCAGGGCCCCCACACGGCTCATGGACCCGCCCAGGATCAGCTTCATGGACTCCACGAACCCCTGATGTACGTGGGGAGACACAGTCAGTGTCGGGAGGGCTCTGCCCATCCCCAAGGGCGCGGTGGTGGGGGTCTCACTCCCCCCCAGCACTCACCTGCATCCTCTGATAGGCCTTCTGCCCCGTGCGCACCTCGATGGCCTCCACCTCGGCCAGGGGGATCTCGGACAGCTCGGGCAGCCCCACGCTGGAGTCCATCTGCTTGCAGTCGACGTAGAGCTCGACGCTCAGCGTGTCCCTGCGCAGCCCGCTCAGGCGCACGATGACGGAGTGGCTCTGCCCGTCCGCCACGTGCGCGTGCTGCAGGTTGACCGAGTGCACCTTGTTGTCCTCCCGCAGGTACCGCACCAGGACTGCGGAGGAGCGGGGAGGGGCCGTCAGCTCCCCCCCGGCACCGGCAGCACCCCGGGACCAGCAGGCACCCACTGCTCCTCCCCGTGAGCCCCTTGGACGGCAGGAGCTCAGTCCTGTTTCCCTCAGAGCACTGGGACAGGAGCAGGACCAGCCCGTCCCCACACATGGGGCACCCACCCACCTTTGTTGATCTTCCCCACGACCGAGACCTCCAGCCACCGCGTGTTGTCCTTCTTGGAGTAGAGGCCGAAGAGGGTCCCCCCCTGCTTGGGGGGCAGGCGGAAGGTGGACAGGAGGTACACATCGTTGACGGTCAGGAGCTCCATGCGGATCTTGTGGGCCACGCTGGCCATCTGCCGCACCTCGCTCACCAGCAGCAGGTCAATGACTGCGGGAGCCGAGCACCGGGGTCGCCTCCGCACCGGCAGCCGCAGCTGCGGCCGGTGACCGCAGGGATTCCCGGTGCGGTCACACCGAGGGGGGGGGGTTGGGGGTGACCCTGGACCGCCGTTCCCCGGGGGGACCGGGGAAGCCCCGGGGTCTCCGGGGCCGCCCCCGCGCGGTGGCGCTCCAGGACCGGCCGCGCCGCCGAGAGGGACCCGCGGAGCCCCCGCACCGCCGGGACCGGCGGAGTCACGGCCCGGAGCCCGCCCCGCAGCCGGGGCTCCCCCGCATCCCGCTCCGTGGAACCCCCCGCGCCCAGCAGCAACGAGGGACGGCCGGACCGGGAGACCCCGGAGAGACGGCCGGGTGCCCGGGGCGCTCCGGTGGGAGCGCGGACAGCCCAGTCCCGCAGCCGAACGGGTGCCCGCCTGCTCCGTGCAGACCGAGAGGAGCTCCGGTTCCGCGGTCAGCCCTCGCCGAGGGACCCCCCCCCGCCGCCCCGAGCCGGCATCGGAACCGGCGGCCGCCCTGCGCCCCGGGGATGAATGTCCCTGTGTCCTCGCTGCCCGGCTCCCCCGGGGCGAGCGGAGCCGCTGTCAGCGGCCCCGGGACAGGGGGTGCTGCTGCCGCCGCCGCCCCCCGACTGCCGCCCGTCCCGCCGCCCCGTCGGGGCCGCCCCGCCGCCGCCCCGAGCTCCCCCGTTATACCTTGCAGCCCCGGGCGCGCCGCGGCGGCGGCGCCCAGCAGGAGCAGCGCCAGGAGCGCGGAGCCCCCCGGTGCCCCCATGGTGCCGCCGGTGCCGCCGGTGCGGAGCGGAGCGCGGCGGGGCGGGGTGGCGCACGGGGGAGGGGCCGACGGGGCCGGCGAGGAGGAAACAAAGAGCCGTCAATCAGCGGGCGCATCTCGGGGCCACCGGCGGGCCACCGGCCGAGGCCCCGGAGGGGGAGGGGGGGGGGGCAGCGGGCGGTCGCGGCGCACCGGGCCCGGGGCTGCGGGGAGCCCCCCCACCGGGCACTGCCCGCCCCCGGGGCAGCCCCCGCTCGCAGCGCCAGTTCACCGGGAGGTCAGGCGGACTGGGGCCGCCCCAGCAGCGCCGGAGCATCCCGGTCCGGGAGAGCGGGACCGGCCGTGGGGTCGCTTGTCCGGGGTTGTCCCACGCCGCGGAGCCCCCCGGGCCGGCGGAGCTCCGGGGCCGGTCCGTACCGCCGGGGGATGCTCGGGCCGCCGAGCCGCTCCCGCGGAGCCCCGGCCAAGACGTGTTTACAGCTGTTTCCCCCAGTGCCATAACAACGGGCCGGGCCCGGCCCCGGGGCCGCCCCAGCCCCGCGCCCCCGGTCCGGCCCCGCGCCAGCGGCCCCGCGTAACGGGGGAGCGGGGGTGGGAGTGATGGAGGGGGGTGGTCCCGAGCCGAACGCGGGGCGTTTTCCCTCCGCCGCTGCCAGCGGGCTCCCGGCCCGGCTGCGGTCCATGGAGACGTGCAGAGGGGTGCGGGGCTGAGCCGGGTCCAGCGATGCGGGGCTCTATGGTGCGGGAGGTGCGTGGCTGAGTGGTGCGGGGCCGAGCAGGGAGGTGCCGGGCTCTGCGAGGCGGTGCGGGGCACAGCAGGGTTGTGGGGTGCAGTGCGGGGCTGAGCAGCGTGGAGCGGGAAGGTGCGGGGCCGAGCAGGATGAACAGCGTGGAGCTGAGCTGAGCCGAGCGGTGCGGGGCAACGCGGGGAGGTGCGGGGCTGAGAAGGGCTGTACAACGTGGTGTGTGGTGCGGGCCAGAGCAGGGCTGTGCGATGCGGGGAGGTGCGGGGCTGAGCACAGTGCAGTGCAGTGCGTGGAGGTGCGGAGCCGAGCAGGATGGAGCGGAGCTGAGCTGAGCGGTGCGGGGAGGTGCGGGGCTGAGCAGGACTGTGCGGTGCAGTGCGTGGAGGTGCGGAGCCGAGCAGGATGGAGCTGAGCTGAGCGGTGCGGGGAGGTGCGGGGCTGAGCAGGACTGTGCGGTGCAGTGC